CAAAGCCCCAGTACATAGTTGTCTGTCATAGCTGCACATCCTTCTAGTTGCTGTATGTGGGACGCGGCCTCAGCATGGCTGGAGGAGTGGTGCCTCGGTGCACACCCGGGATCCGAACCCGGGCCGCCGGCAGCGGAGCGCACGCACTTAACCGCTAAGCCACGGGGCTGGCCCTCATGTGTTTTATTTAGAGTTCTTATTCATAATGTTGCAAAGTGGCAGGCGTTTTTTCTTATTTTAATTGCTGACTTTTTCACTCATTTCATGACGAGTTAGAGTGGAAAACTATCCCCAACCACTCACTGTTAATGTACATGACTGACTACAACATCCGAACAAAAATAAGGCCTGCCTCAGTAATGTGTTTTCCCACTTCTCAAATTGTAGTTTGGGTACTCTGTTGCCATGGATATTTGCTGCTTAAATATGCTGAAAGGTTTAAAATGCTCTCTTGTCTTTGTGGGACCTCATAATGATGAGTAGTAAATTATCCAAGAAGATAATTACAAATTATGTGTTAGGATTAATATAGACTAAAAACCATTGACTATAGTTTAAAAATTCATATTACCTCTGTTGTGATTAAAAACAGCATCTGTTTAAATCTTTCTTTTTAACAGATGTTTCCGTTACTACTAAGTAAATATAAATGATTCATAGATTCTCTGGGAAGAAAAATGCTAATTACTTGATAAGGCAGGATTTTAACCTTAGAATGAACTAGCATCGTAGCATTTGAAGTAATATCAAAGCATTTTGCTTTGCTGATAGTTTTCTTTGCTTGCAGTCCTTTTATTATTAAAGATATATTTGACTGTTCTCAGAGCTTGAGAAATTATTTTATTGTTGAGCAGGAAAGCATAGAAAATTTAGAGTGAGTAATTCAGCTGTCACACTTGAAACCTAGAGGTGCAATTTGAAATTACACATCAGCTGTTACAGAAATGAGCTTACTCATAAAATTTTGCTGCATACTGCAGAAAATATGGCAGAAGTTTGATTTAATTCTCCCTGCTTGTCACAATTACTGATTGTAATATAAATATACCAAATATTGTTGTTCATGAAAAATATGGGATGAAAATTATTAATCATTTTTATCCTGAAATATATTATCAGTTATAAAATGGAAAATTGCTGGTCTAAGAAATATACAGGAGCCCATACAATTAATTCTGATGTACGTCTGCAGCTCTAATCCCATCTCTCCAATTGACTACTTGACATTTCCACTTGGATGACCTTATTAATACTAACCCATTATCTTATGCTGAGTCCTTGATTAGTAATGCAACTTCCAATTACAGTGTTTCCATGGAAAAAAAATAGACTCTGCTTTGTGACCTGTCTTACAGTGTAGTGAATAATGACTATTGTCATTTCAAAGGACACTTATACTTGCTTCTCTCATAATCACTACAAACTCTCCATATCCCAAATTGCATTCTCTCATTCCAAACTGCCTGCAAGGCAAGATGGCCTGGCACAGTTGAAAGCACTAGACTTGTGTCCTACTTTGGATATTGCCACTAACCATATGACCCTCCCTAGACATCATTTTTCCTTATTTGTAAAACGAGGGTGTTGGACTAGAAGATCTAGAACATTGCTTTAGGTCCCTTGCTGTAAAAATTAAGGTCTTTAAGTATATCACCCTGGATGGGTTGTATGATTGTGAAATGTCATCAACTTTCTTCTGGTCTCACATGTGGTCATCTGACTGTTATCCTTATCCACTCAGTTATTAAACAGTCTTGTTAAGTGTATTTCATTTGAAATTTTCCCTGTTGCCATTTTTCTTTCCATTTTTTGCTTATCTTAGTCCAGGCCTAGATCACAAGAGCTTCCTGTCTGATTCCAGTCTTTCCTCACTCTATTTTGTCCCCATACTGCTTTTTAACTCATCTTCCCTTAAGATCAATTTCATCAAGTTACTTCTGCTTAGAAAATGTTATTGGCCTACTACTACATATCATATAACAGCTTCTGGTTCATTTGTTAAGCTTTCAAATCCCTAGCACTGATTATGTATTTTAATCATATTGGTCTCATTAACTTCATCCTATGTTTTTTCCATCTATGGTTTTATTAAATTATTCTCCTTACCTGAATGCCTTTTCCTTTTCCCCATCTTGTCATTTTGAGAGACTACCTTGTGAAACTTAACCCAGCCACTTGAGCAACATGTGGCATTCTCTGAGCATTTATGCTACCTTTTTTAAGGGTTCAAAACCATGGCAAGGGATGGAAAAAAGAAAATACATAGATTTATTGATTGTCACATATGTGCCAGGCATATTACCTCATTTAAACCTCTCAACAATCCTTTGAGATGGATGGCATTAACTATAACTTACTGAAGACTTGGTGGCTCAAAGAAGCAAACTAACCTCCACAAGATCAAGACGGCTAGTGAGCAGTGAAGCTGGGATTTGAACTCTGGGATCTTTTTACTTCTCCCTGAAAAAATGGCCAGAGCCATTAATTGCCCTTTTTTAACACCCCCCTCAACAAACACATAAACAGAATTAAAGACATAAATTTAAGTGCTTAACATATATATAGTTAAATATTTGCTAGCAGATATTTGCTAAAGATTTAGATGAAAATTTTTCTTAAATTTTGAGAGTATAGATATTTTCCTAGTTCCTTTCTCTACCTAATTTAACAAAGGAGCTTGAAGTAGGGGAGGCCTTTCATCTGATGAGTGTTTCATTTTATTTTAGGAACCCCAGGGAGATCTTTAATGTAGTAGTATTGTGATTTGAAGTCTTTCAAAGGGAAAATAGCAAAACATTTTCTTTTTTAACATTAAAGGCTGAAAAAGAGATGGCCTTCATCTGTGCATTCAGCAATCATCCTTTCATGACACTGACTAGATAACATTAAGGCTAAGGGTGAACAATTCAAGCAGTGTTAGTTAATGAGATTTTAAAGGAAATAATACAAGTTGTTGGAAGTCAGTTATGCCCTTGGATTCATCAATGACTGTCAAAATGAAAATGTGGTTTTTAAGAGTAGTAGCTAACTTAGTTTCATTCTAAACATCATCGTCACCTTGCATAGTGATCAACTCCCATTTTTGTGGCTTCACTCATCTCTTCTATGTGATTGACTCCCCGATACCTGCCCCTTTGTAGCTCTCCTAAACTTTAATCCTGCAGCTTTGTCTCGCTGCTAGATATTTCCATTGATGACCTGTCATCTCAAACCTAACATTCGTCATTTGCTATGTTGTATAATTGTATGTTTGTGTTATTGTATTATCTTCCTAAGTAGAATTTAAAGTTCTTGTGTAAGGACCATGACTTACACTCCTTTGAAGCCCCTGTACCTATTATAGTGCTGTGGGTACAATAGGAGGCCAAATACATGTGATTGCAATCATCTTCAGGGCTAAAGTAGCTTTTCTCTTTTGGTAGCTTCAAAAGCCTAGTAATCATCCAGAGTTCAGATATAATTGCAAAGTCTATAGAACCAAAAAAACAAAGCAAAACAAAACCAAAAAGGTGTTGTTTTGTACCTTGTAAAAATGAAAGCATTATCTTTGAAAATTAGGTACTCCTCGTAGAAGAAAATATTTTATCTTCTTGATGAATAACTTAAACACATTTGTTTAAAATTAAATCCATTCTGACTTTTGGAGGTGATGGATGTTTATTACCTTCATTGTGGTGATGATTTTACAGGTATATGCATATGTCCAAAGTCTTCAAATTGTATATGTTAAATATGTACAGTTCTTTGTATATCAGTTATAACTCAATAAAGCCATTAAAAATTAAATCCATTCTAACTGAGTTTTATAGGCAATATAAAATTATAGCACATATTTTTGCTGTTCATCTCACTTTAAACTGATGTGATTTTCTGTATATTAGGCCTGCTTGCATTTCTCCTTTGTCTACACATTGTCTCTTACCATTTTTTTCTAATTTTTCTTTTATACTTCTGGTCTTTAAAGTATTTTGCTTTATATTAACACCATATTCTAAATTATTTTAATTGTCTCAAGGTTGTTAATACAGACTTGAGGACAAGGACCATGGTTTTTTTGTCTTTATATTGGCAGTTTGTCTAGCACAGTGTCTGGCAAAGAGCCAGGTAGTGGCAGCTCACTCAGGTCTCCTGAGATGGAGACCAGTACCCCTTATTCATTATACTGTGTGGGCCCTAGCCTTCATTATCATTATGAATTAAAAAATCTTAATGATGATTGACTTTTAAGTTAGCATTTTAATAAGTCTTGCTTATGATTTTAAGCTTTTGGAAAATATCTCTCATTTAATTAGTGACTATACAAAGACTATGGTGATGTTGCTGCTATGTCTAAAATAGGAGTGGATCAGAATTAATGTTTTCTGATTCTGCATTTGTTATTAGTCTTTTATTAAAGTAATTTTTAATCAATATGAAATGTGGTATTTAAAATGTATTTTTTTAAAAACTTGCTTTCCGTATCCCCTTCTTCTTATTTTATAAAGTTACCAGGCAGTGACATTGCCAGTGGGAGTGATGTACTTTCTGATGTCATACCCAGTATTCCAAGTTCACCTTGCCTGCTTCCTAAAAAGAAAAACAAGCACCGGAATTTAGATGAACTTCCTTGGAGTGCAATGACAAATGATGAGCAGGTAGAGATCTCGACATTCTTATTTAAAAGCATATATGAGAACATGTGAGGCTCAATTTATTGCCTATGTAAAGCTACTGGGTAAAATGTGGATTGCTTAGTAAATCTGAATTTGAGCTTTAACTATCTGGTTTGCAGGAAACAAATATAATATTAAGTGCTTCTGGGTATTTAAAACACATTATAAATGGTACACTAAGAGATCAGAGGTGTTGGCATTGATCTTGTTTATTATAATTTTCATAACACAGGTGGAATATATTGAGTATCTGAGTCGTAAAGTCAGTACTGAGATGGGTCTTCGGGAGCAACTTGATATTATTAAAATAATTGATCCTTCTGCTCAAATCTCCCCTACAGACAGTGAGTTTATTATTGAACTTAACTGTCTCACAGATGAAAAACTGAAGCAGGTATGTAAAGAAAATACAGATTGTACCGCTATTGGGAATACCATTGTCTTATAGTGTGTAGACTTGAATAATCATAGGTAACCACATAGATAATTAAGGTCAAAAGCACTGCTGTGAAATGTAATATTAGACAAAATGATGGTAATATTTGAGAACACTTGGTTTTAAGAGGTTTTATGTACATCTCACCTGGCAGTACTTTTCTGGGATCATGTGGATCTAGAACCTACTTTTTAGCTGTGTAGGCTTTGAAACTTAATTTCACTACTTAAGGGGTGGTTACACTAGGGTATAGATTTATTCTAAGTCAACTTAAAAAGACGTATTGACAGAATCAAAATACTGATTATTGAAAGCTATACTTGAGTGAACATCTGAGCTGAGAGATTTGAGTAGTCTTATAGAGTAATTGAACCTGGCTAGGGTAAAACGTAATGAATTTTCTTTCTGCTATTCTGAAATACACACTTCTGGTATCTTCTAAATATAGTCTTTATTGCTTTCTTTTTCTCTGGTACATAACTGAATGAATACTTAGTTCTACTTTTGCTTTTTTTTATTTTTTGCGTTTATCATCATTTACAAAAAATTTCTCTCATTTTAGTATTTCTCTCAACAGACATACTATAATTTTCTACATTCCAGCTCATTTTTCATTAGTATGGTAAATTGATGCCTTGCATTTGAAGACACGTACTGTGGGCCCCTAGCTAAGATTTAGGAAACACCCTAATCTTAGATATAATCAGCAACTTACTTAAATCATCTTAAGTGAAGACCTTTAAAAAATGCCTAATCTCATTTATTTTATTTTATTGTTAGTTTCTGTTTCTGAGTGTTATTTTCTTATAATTCTAAATTCTGGAGGTTAGTAGCCTTCCATTTACTAATTATATTTTATATGCTTTTAAAATCTAGCTCCATAATATGTATTCTAGAATTTTGAACGTTGTCAATTTTTCTGGTACTTATTTCTACATTTAGAGATTTCTTTTGTCCTGATATTCTACTTATGTACATCTGTAGCACTTTTGACATTGTACTTTTAAATTAAGTACAATATTCTTCTTTTCTCCAGTATTTTGAGGATAGAACGTCAAGGAATAGCACTAACCAGTTTTTGTCTGTGCATTCCAAGGTCAGAAATTATATCAAGGAGCATAGCCCTCGCCAACGGCCTGCAAGAGAGGCCTGGAAGAGAAGCAACTTTAGTTGTGCAAGCACCAGTGGAGTGAGCGGTGCCAGTGCCAGCGCCAGCAGCAGCAGTGCCAGCATGGTCAGTTCTGCAAGCAGCAGTGGGTCCAGTGTTGGAAACTCTGCTTCAAACTCCAGTGCCAACATGAGTCGAGCACACAGTGACAGCAACCTGTCTGCAAGTGCAGCAGAGCGGATTCGGGATTCAAAAGTAAAACGTCTAATCAATACAAAACTTTACCTTTCACTATTAACATTAGTCTCCTTCAGATAAATTTCTTGAAGAGTTAAAATTATCCTGCTATCTGGATGCCTGTGGGTTTTGGTTGTAACCGAACAAGCAGGATGCTCTGCTATTGAACAAAGCCCTCTAGGCTGAGTGCTTTGAAACACTGTTTTGACCCACAGCCATATCACATTCAGTTTTATCTGATTTTTGTGTCTGTTTTAAGTAAGATAAATTGATGGAAATAATGAGTGAGTCTCAAGATTGCAATATTGACTGCAACTCACTACTGAGCGGATCTCACTATGTTGCTGATGTTGCTGTCTATTAGCTCCTAAGAATGTTCTGTATGTCCTTTGTGTGTGTGAAATGTTTTCTTAATATTTTAATCTTGAATGTTTCTTCTTAGCTCTTTTAAAAGTGTAATAATGCTTTCTCTAATTTCTGTCGACTCTTCACAATTGAAAAAATTCCGTACAATATTATTGAGCACATAAAAAATAGGAAGTATAAATGTATATAGAATGGTTCTGTGATGCTTAGCAGGAGAGTTCGGTTCCTTGCAGTGGCGACAGTCTGGAGCCAACTTAAGGATGATAAAGGTGTCTCTATAACTCTTTGGGAACTCAGTGGTGACTAGAAGATACACAATGACTCCTTCTCTGGCTCTTACCGAAGTAGCAGAAACATAGGCAGCTTTGTTGGTTGCCAAGGGATTCCTCTGGATATGTGGTCATTCCTTTTTGGCACCAGTGACACGGAATAGAGTACCCACTGGGTTTCTAAATGGGCTTTCAAGATGGTATTTGCCTAATATGAAAAAGACATGATTCTTTCCCAGCCATTGTTAAATTCCTAGTGCTTTTGCCTGAAAGGCACCTTAAAAGCATAAGCATTAGAGATTTTGGCAATGTTCTCTACATTTGTATTCAGTATTGTTCACTATATGTTCACTCTGCACTGACACCAGTGTACCTTAATTTGATTTTAAAAGTCTTTGAAATGATTGGTTATCCATAGCTAGCCAAAATGATCACGTTTCAACCTTTCCTTATCAGAAGATTCACTGGTCTCAAATACCATAAAAATAGAATCTTGAAGAATCATTTTCAAGTCTAAGCCAAAGTCTCACTTACCAGAACCAGGGTCATACTGCAAAGGAATTTGAACATCTCTAAAAATTCTGAAAATATAGAATTTGATCCATAAAATACTTTGGGGTGGGTATGCCAGAACTGAACCTTACTGATTTAGACATTTTTATTTTGACAGAAGCGATCCAAGCAGCGGAAGTTACAGCAGAAGGCCTTACGCAAGAGGCAGCTGAAAGAGCAGAGGCAGGCTCGGAAGGAGAGGCTCAGTGGGCTCTTCCTTAATGAAGAAGTGCTGTCCTTGAAAGTGACTGAGGAAGACCACGAAGCAGATGTAGATGTTTTGATGTAATAAGGGTGAATTTATCAGCGTTCTTTCTAAGCATTAAAGTATTCTATCCTTATTTGTTTACATGCATCTTGACCAAACTTTTGGTTAGGGCTGTGCTGATGTACCATTCATAATTTAGGCCAGTGGTTCTCAGCAGGTGGTCCCCAGACTAGCAGCTTCAGCATCACCTGAGAAGTTGTTAGAAATACATACTATCGGGCCCCACCCCAGACCTAGTGAATTAGAAACTCTGGGGGAGGGACCCAGCATTGTGTTTTAACAAGCACCAGGTTATTCTGCCGCCCACTCTGGTTTTAAGAACCACTGATTTAGTAAATGTTTTGACTATTTAAACTTTAGGGTGGTTAAGTGGGCTTTTTCAAAGACTAGTACTTTTACAGTTTAGAGGATTTCAAGGTACTGCTGACAAGTAGTTTACTGTCAGTATATGTACGTGTGTAGAGATTATAATTGTTTCCTTCTTAATGTTACAAGTTCTTAGTTTACTTTTCTAAAGGGCCATAGCATAATTCTCAATTCCTAGTGGACATCTTTTTTTGAGGTTGTAGGGGTGGGGTGTGGATTGCTGTTTACAATAGTGCCTTCATTAGGTTTAGCTGTATCTGTTTTCATTCATTATTAACTCAAAGGTGTAAAAATAGGCCCTAATATCTTTCCTGTTAGGTTTGTTTTTGTTTTTCACTTTATGTGAATTCAGAATCCTTTCTGTAAGTGATAACTACTGAAGAAATAGTGTTACTAGTAGCTGAATTTTAGACTTGATGCTCCATTCAAATGGAGAAAGCAATTAAACAAAACAACCAATTCTGCTTTTCCACTGCTTTCTGAAATCTTAGGCTGTGAAGCTGTCTCAAAGGCAGAAAATATCTCTCTCAAGTTCTTTTTGTAGGTCATTTTTTTTCCAGCACAGCTCTAATTTTTAAATATTTGACATAACAGCTTCTGGCATGTGAACAGGTAAATGTTCAAAATTAACTAAAGAAAACCCTTACAGTTCTGCTAAACTTCTCTATAAATTGCTAGAAATACACAAAGCAGTGAGATATAGCAAAAAAAAAAACGTTAGCTTGTTAGCTGTTAATAGAACTCTAATTTTAAATGTGAAATCATGGAGTTTCTTTAAATGTTTTCATGGAGAGTTCGTTATCATGAACTTTAGAAGTAGTGTGATTCCTTTTCTTCTACCATATGTCTTTAAATATTCACGTGGGTTAAAGAAGATGGAAACTGATACTACTGACAATCAAGCTGCTTTCTGACTTTCATAATTAATTTCTTTTTATTGTGGATAACTTTTGAGAGGTAATCATGATTCTTTAGGAGAAGTTGTAATCGATATTTTTTGAAACTTTAGAGTCACAGGTTGAAAGGATTTCTACTTTTTTTAACTTTTTATCATAATCAAGTAACTCATTAAGAAAAAGATTAACGACTTAATTCTTAATTCTCAGTTGATATAAAGGCTTAACCTTTGCTTACAATCATGTGTTTTGAAAATTTGATTTCATTTTGGTTCCTTGAAGGTTAAAGAATTGAAACTGAGGATAAAAATTGATATATTGCAGCTTTGCTGAGGTCTGTGGTATGGTTGTAACATTTTGAAGACTACTAAATTTATACTTTAAAATTTTGCTAAAATAAAAGTATGTATGTATATGGTTATCAGTTGGAGTAGTCCTTCTCACTTTCCTCTTACCCCCTCTTTGGTACTCCTAAGCAGCTTAGAGGGCCCAAAGAGAGCTTGGGGATAGACCCCAGAGTACTCTGAGGAAGGTGGAAAGGGTCAACCTTGCTGTTTTTCCCTTCCAAGTATAGGAAGAGTAAATGGAGAGAAGAGCAAATACCGCTGAATTCTCTGCCTGCTCTTAGCAAAAGCAAAATTTCAGAGAATGATTGTCTGTTCTCTTTACCTGCTCTTCAAGGAAAACAGGCCACTTTTGAAGACCATAGAGCAGCATTTATCTATTAAATACTTGGAAACAATTTACTTGACAGTGATCAGTAAAAGAAAATCCTAAACAGGGAGTCATGATGTAATAAGAACAATTTCTCTACTCTCCCCAAAATCACATAGTCTTATTACCTTAGATTTAACTTAAGTCACTATTAAACAAGTTTACCAAAGCACCACAAAACCGGTTTAAAAAGTTTATACAGGTTTGCATGTTTATAGCAAAGTGCAGCATGAAATTTTGTGTAAATCTGGATGCACTTTCTTTACGGTACTATAAATTAGAGATAGTCCATAAAGTTGGTTTGGAGGAGATTGAAAATACCTCCTCTGATTAAAAGAAAAAAATTAAAACAACTTGAGTTTGCTTATGATCGAAGAGGGAGATTATAGTCTTTCTCCATCCCGCTCCCCCCGCCAAAAAAAAACCCAGCAGAAAAAGGCAAAAGTTCTCTTGCCTTTGTTAATGTGATATAGTTTTTTTCTGTTTTAATGCTTCATGTAAATAATTCAAGTTTGAATTATTTCTTTCTTGGAATAAGTAAAATTTATTCAATCTGGTATATCTCTGAGTTCAATTTAAAACAAATCCAACTCAGTATTTTTTCTTTTTATATATAAACCCTAAGTAACCAATTAATAAAAACGTGAGACTTATTTGCCCCAGTGTCAGTTCTCATCTGTAGAGAACAGACACTGGAGCAAATGTCTTCCCCTTTAAAAATAAACCTTGTTAACTGAGGGCATGAGAATGTCCCCTCAGATTTATCCAGAAACATTTTATTAGAGGTCTTGTATGTATGTCAATTATATCTCAATAAAACTGGGAAAAAGATTTTTGTAGAATTCTGTCAGTCCCCACCACAGCTTTTTCAAGTATGAACCTTGAGTTAAACAAAATGGCATATCTTTTTCTACAGTTTTGCAACTGAATTAAAGTAAGGCAATGTAGTATAATGTATAGTAGAGTATAAAGGGATAATTCATTCTGTCCCAACAAGAACTTAGAATAAAATAACACTTTTTTTTTCATGAGACTTGTCTCATTTTTTGTTAGGCTGTGGCAGTTTTGTCCGTTTCCTTAGTCCTTTGGGTTAACTGTTATTGCTGAATTAAACCCAGAAACTGACTTCTAATTTAATGAGTCTATCAATTGGGTGGACATCTCATTTTATTTAGAAATCTCTTAAAAGTGCTAAATCCCCTCATAAAGGAAAAATATCAGGAAACTACTGTATAAAGGTATCCAGATTCTGATGAGCTTTAAAAATTGTGAAATTTATCAAATGTCTTCATAATTAAGCCAAAAATGTTAGTACATGACAAATGTAGAAGTCTTATTTCCAGATTCTCTAGTAGAGATTTTTGTTCGTGGCTTACTCTATATAGCCTCACGTGCCTTAAAGGTGAACTCTGTACTTTTTGTCAATATCAGGCTTTTCCAAACTCAAAAATAATCTAAATGCTGTAATTCGTTTTATAAAATGCCCATGCTGTTGGATATCAGTAAGCAAAGCCATTAAATTGAACCAATCAATAATAATAGGGTGTATAACAAAACAAAAACCTTCAGATCATTGTTTTTTTGTTGTCGTTGTTTTTTGTTTTGCTGAGGAAGATCGGCCCTGGGCAAACATTCGTGCCTATCTTCCTCTACTTTATATGGGACGCTGCCACAGCATGGCTTGACAAGCAGTGCGTCGGTGCGCGCCCGGGATCCGAACCTTCGAACCCCGGGGCCACCGCAGCAGAGAGCACGCACCTTACCGCTTCCGCCACCGGGCCGGCCCCAAACCTTCAGTTCTTAAGTTTCATTTGCATAAGTTTATTTTTGGCCCAGCTGGATCACTGGAGAACATTGAAAGTTATCTACAGTATAGCCTAATGTATTCTTTTATTTTTTTTTTCCCTGAAAAAGTCATAAGCCAGAATACTTTGTAAAATCAGATAACTCTTAGTATCTGGAAAAGAATTTTCAAGGCAAAAGTATTTCATGAACAGAGATTATATAGCAAGTTGATTCTCTTGTTAACTTTAGGGATTCTTTGCATTCATTTGTGTAATAGCTGGAACATTCCCCTCCCCTTAAACAAATTACCTTTTAGCACTTTTATCTTCAAGAAAACTGTTTGCTTGGAATTGGGAGGAGGTTAAAGTCAGTTTACAGTTTGAGATGGTTGATAGGAAAATTCCCAATTGCATTCAAATAATAGTATTGATGTTGAGCATACTGACATTCAACATATCTAAACTTAGAGGTAAATTTAATCCTTAAAAGGACTATTAGTTAGAAAATAAGTATTTGTGTACACATGTACTGTGATAACTTTGGATTCGTTTTAAGTCTGGCAAAGTAAGATAAATTTTATCTTTACAATGAAATTATGCTAAGTGGGTGAGAAGCATCTGAGAGATATTTAGACCTAGGCATCTCTGTCAGCATAGTATCTGGAACAAAGCTCCTTAGAATGCTTAATTCTTATTTCTTTGGAAAATAATTTACTTGTTCCAAAAGGCTTAGAAGGAACTCTGAAAATTCCTCTGATTAACTGGCTTTTAAGAGTAAGGAAGTTGCATGGTATAGCTGAAGATCTGAGTTGACTCACTAAAATTTTATTTTCATATTTTTTCTAATATTAAAATTATTTTCATCCTCCCTCACAATTGTATTTTAAATTAAGGTTATTAATGTTTTAACCTAGATCACATGATGGTAAATCAATATTTAATTTACATTCATACTGAACTCAGAAAAACTGGTTTGGTCTTCTCTGATTTCAATATGCAGTACATTTTCTTTATTGTCAAATTTCTTTGTTACATCTTTGTGGTCAATGGAACCTGTGGAAGTCTGTGTTCTTTTTTTGTGGTGAGGGATGGGGGTAGAAAAGAGGAGAATTGCTCTAATTATACATATGCATTTTGACTATATAGAGGTAGTTGTAGAATTAATATGTATAAATGACAAGTTAACACTTACCTATTCTGAATTGTTCTAAGGAACAGTGGCCTGAAGCCATGGCTTGTTTTGTGGAGCTGCTTGCTCTTTAATAGTAGCTGACCAATTGGATTTAAGTTGAGACTTTGGGGTTAGGTTATCTAGCTGAGGCTTTTAGGAATGGAGCAGACCATGTCTGTTCCTGTAGTGGATCAATTTAATTTCCTCCTTGAATATTCTAATTTAGATATAGGTATCATCCATTCTAAATCTTTGTGTTGGGAGTTTAATAGGACTGTTGTCAACAGCTATTAAAGAGAAACACAAGTCTATGTGAAACATTTCACAGATGGTTAAACATTTCGATTTTTTTGTTTTAGTTTTAAAGATTAGTTATGTAGCATCAATATCATAACCAAAGCAAGTAGGAAGTTGGTTTGGAGAATCTTCAAGTAGTCTTAAATACTGTAATGTATCAGATTGTTATCCAGGATTATTTTCCTGTATTTCTGCTAAATGTATTACTATATTAATGCACTTTTGTATATATAACTGTCTTCTGTACATTCTGTACTTACTACAGTGTATATAAAAGCTGTTTTTCCTGAAGCTGTGAGGGGAAAACAATAGCTGTAACACAAGTCGTTTCTATTTTGTGTTCCTTCTTGTACTTGAAAGTAGTAGTTCAGTAGTTATATCTAAATGAGTATGTATGGTTGTAATTAAAACTGGCAATGTGGCAGAGCTGTTTTTTGAAACTGAATATCAGAATGAAAAGTGTTGTTCTGGTTATTAAGAACAATTGTAATATTTTAATTGTTTCTTTTGATGTATCATGGATTTTTACAAACCCCACTGCTGCTTACTACTTTATACTTCTGAATCCACTCCTTTCATGTTCCATCCTAGAACAGTTATCAACAGAGAAGAATTGCTCTCTTTTCTTTTGCTTACAGTTTGGTTAAGGCTCCATAAACTTTTGTTTTGTGAAAGCCCCAATTTCCCAAATGTCATTGGCAAATCATTTTTTTCTGGGAGAGACCAGATTTCTAGAGAGATTAGCATTCATAGTAAGTGAAATTATGTCTAACTTTTGTTTACAAAAAATCAGTTCTGTTTTCCTTACATATTAGAGTCTTTTTAAGTTATATAAAAAATGTCTGTGAGCAGTTTTATGTATAGATACAGAAGCAATTCAGCTTTTCAGCAGCAACTTCATCTCTTGCCACTAGAGGGAGGTCTGTGGTTGCTCTCTCCTTCGGAAAATATCTTAGCTGCTTTTCTTTTGTTTTTAATTTCAGAGGTTGGAATCAACCTCATTCTCAAAATTCCTTTCGTGATGTTAAATATTTTCATTTGTTAGTCAAAGGTAAGTTAATTGAGCTTGTTTAATAAAGCCAGTCTTATTCATGCTTTCCTGCGATCTTCAATTTTTAATAAATGTGAGTTAGATATTAAGTGAAACGTGTGTGTGTGTTTTTTTCTTCTCTTAGGTACTCTAGAGCTGTACTGTCCATTATAGTAGCCAGTAGCCACATGTGGCTATTTAATTGAATTAAAGTTAAATAAAACTTAAGTTCCTTGGTCCCATTAGCAACATTTCAAGTGCCCAGTAGCCCCATATGGCAAGAGGCTACTATATTGGAAACCATAGGATACAGAACATTTCCATCATCACAGAAGGGTCTATTGGACAGGACTGATCTAGAGATTTGATGGTTTACCAGTGGACAGTACTGAGTGACTCACAACTGCTGCCTGCAGTTAACTGTTGGA